GTGTGTGTGTGTGTGTGTGTGTGTGTGTGTGTGTGTGAGAAGGAGACAATCTCATGATGGGACTACAGATGAAAATTAGCCTAATGCTAAATCTGTTGCAATGCATCAAATGTTTTAACATTTCTGTTTTAATCGCACACTTGAATRAGGTGAATTAAATTAAAATGATTGGTGTCGTTCTCTGGCCCAGCACCCCTCGACTAGCCGAGTACCTCAGTAAGAATAGAGCTGAAACTAGGAGGGACCACCCAATGTAAAGATTCTGAACCTGCACCAACCCAAGGGCTAAGCTGAGTCAAGGTATGGACTTTTAGTCTGACTCCTATCTTGAGGCTAGTTTTTCATAAGAGACCACCAGACCCCGGGATCATGGAGACATTCAAACTCATCCACCAGGTTTCTGTGGTGATTCCTTCCACTGCTCCTTCACATCAAAAGGAATCATCTAATGTGGTTTGGGATCCCTCTGGKTGCCTCCCTGTGGAGGTTTACCAAGCCAGTAGGTTGTGTAAACTGATGCTGCTTTGAAGAAAACTAACACAAAAAAATCAGGTTTGGCAGAGCAAAGCTTTAGGAAAGTTGGCAATCTGAATCAGCCTAGAAAAGTCACAATYCGTGCATCTCTGGATTTAACACAATTTGCTGTCAGGTTTTCGCAAATTCTGCAAGGCATTGGGAATCTTTTGGATTCCAAAAGCGTCAGTAGTTTACAGTGTGCGCATCCCTGCTGCTGTCTCCTCTACTGCAGAGGGAGGAAGGGACAAGCTGTAATTTCCTGTTTCAACAAAGCAGAACTGATAACACATTAATGGCCTGGAGCGCAGCGTTACAATGAGCTGAGAGAAAGCCCAACTTTAGTCGCCGTTGTTTCTGTTCCTGCGGCTGACACGAATTATGCAACCTCTGGAGTAGATGGGTAAAGACACTGCACTGAAGAACCAGTATCTCTCACTCGTGTGCCTCTGCTCTCTGTGATGCTTTGTGGTGTGCGTGAATCCATCCCTGGCCTCTGGGAGCTGCACAAATACAAACACGATGACATCACCAACGCCACGCCATCTGCGCACATTTCACCCCACAAGTCAGTGAGATAGTCACGAACACGTGGCGTCCGATTAGTGAAGTCTGACAGCACAGATGTTGCAAAGCAGGATCGTTTTCCACAGGGGGTGGAAAAAAAACTGAGGAGAGCATGTAGTCGAGCAGCAGACTGCAATTATGTTTCTAATCTGAGCCTGAAATTAGATCTCTGACTAAAGGAGGTTCTGGAGAGATAAAATACAAATCCACAGTCAAATCCACCTGTCTGTCCCCTCCATGGTGATGCCAGCATGATAAAGCTGCTTTAGTTTTCCAGGTCAGCAGGTGATCCACTGATGGGGTGCTCATCTCTCCCCTGAAAAGCACTTTCTCAATTTTAAGATTCACTGAGGTTAGAGCAGTTTTCATCAGATAACAAGCGACCAGGTGAGGAGGACCTGAGCTTATCCAAGATTAAAGGCACACACATCATACTTATATATATATAC